AGCACTTTATTTTACCCACTTTACCAAACATTGTAACCCTAGGTATATAAGGACCCTAAGAGTCCCATGTACAGAATAACTGTTCATTCTAATTCCACGCAGTTTTCTCTTCTTCACTATTTCTCTCTCTATGTTCTATGCTTCTATGTTCAATATGGTATCAGTTTCCATTGATCGATCCTGATTTCCGCGATTTTGTTTGCTTTTCTCACCCGATCGGTGATTGTTCTCTCTGATTTTGAGACGTTGTCTCTGTTTTCTGCGATTTCCCGAAAGCGAAACCCTAGTTTCTCGATCAACAACAATGGCGACTCGTGTTCCTGTTCCGAGGATGATCCATCTTCTCCGTTCTACCTGCATGCCAGTGATAATCCGGGAGCTCTCATTGTTGCTGAACCGTTCCATGGCGACAACTATATGTCTTGGTCACGAGCAGTGGTAATGGCTCTCTCATTCAAAAACAAACTCGGTTTCATTGATGGTACTGTCTCTATACCCTCTGTTACTGCTTCTGTCGAGTATTTGGCCTGGACTCGTGCCAATAATCTTGTTCTTTCTTGGCTCTTGAATTCAATTTCGAAAGACATTCGTCAATCTCTTCTATTTTTCTCTTCTGCAAAAGACGTCTGGGATAAAATCAAGGCTAGATACGCATTGCGCAGTGGTCCTCGTCTATTTCAAATCGAAAAATCCTTAAGCACGATGGATCAAGGCTCAATGACAATAACTCAATACTATAATGCTTTTAAATCACTCTGGGATGAATTTCTGACATATAGACCCATAATCCGTTGTACTTGTGGTGCTTTCTCTTCCTGCACTTGCAATATATTTGACTTAATGGATGCTTCTCAACAAACTGACTCTGTGATTAAATTTCTTATCGGTTTGAATGAGTCATATTCCTCCATTCGTAGTCATTTTCTACTTTCTACCCCCTTGCCATCTCTGTCAAAAGTTTATTCCCTCCTATTGCAAGAAGAAAGCCAACGTTCACTCCATTCTGTCCCTAAACCTGTTGACTCTTTGGCTATGTTAGCAAAAACATCATATAATCCCTCTCACCAACACTCTGCTATTCCCAAAGATAAACAACGCCCTAAATGTACTCATTGTGGTCTTATGCGTCACACTCGTGATCGTTGTTACAAATTGGTTGGGTATCCCGCACATTGGAATGTTTCTAAAAGTCATAAACCTAATCAAAAGCATTCTGCCCACTTTGCTAATGCACAACCTGCCATGGCTAATTCACATGCTCCTGTCACAAATGATAATTCCATTACTGATCCTCTCTTTGCTGAGTTCTTAGCTTTTAAAAATTCATATGAGCACAAGCAGGACACTGTTCCACCCACTGAACAACAGAACAATGTTGCCAATGTGTGCTCTGCCATATCAGGTACTTCATCAGGTATCTCCTTATCCTGTCTAGCTCATTCTGGCTTTGATAAAAGTATATGGATATTGGACACTGGTGCAACTGACCACATGATATGTGATTTATCTGTTCTTACAAATGTTAAACCTGCTTGTGTGCACATTAATTTGCCTAATGGTCAGACTACAACAACATGTTATACAAGACAAGTTCACTTATCCCCTGATCTCATTCTATATGATGCATTATATGTTCCTCAGTTTAAGTTCAATCTTATCTCTATTTCCAAACTGACTGCATCTAATCATTGTCAAGTGAAATTCCTGTCTACAACATGCATCATGCAGGATCTCAAATCCCAAAAGATGATTAGTTTTACTGAACCTAAGGCTGGACTGTATCATTTTAATCCTGCACCATCTATACATACCACCAATTTTCATGTACATCCATCTAGGCATAACTCCATACAACAATCAAATATTTCTTCTGATGTAATTGCTTCTCATGTTTCTACTTCATCTGATGTATGGCATTTCATACTGGGACACCTATCTTTTCATAGACTTGAGCAATTACCTCTGTCTCTCAAAAACTGTAAAGCTGATATCTCTCCTTGTGATATTTGTCATTTTTCAAGGCAAAAGAAATTACCTTTTACACCAAGTGTTTCTATTGCTACTGATATTTTTGAATTAATACATTGTGATGTTTGGGGACCCTTTTCTATCCCTTCTTATGCTGGTTACAAATTTTTTCTGACAATAGTTGATGATTACAACAGAACTACATGGATTTACCCCCTACTTGCTAAATCTGACACTCAGTTGCATTTAAATCATTTTCATAACATGATTTCAACTCAATTTGACAAGAAGATAAAATTCCTAAGGTTTGATAATGGCACTGAGTTTTTCTTAAAAGATTTTTTTTTCAAACTACTGGAATCATTCATCAAACAAGTTGTGTTGAAACCCCACAACAAAATGCAAGGGTTGAAAGAAAGCATCAACACCTTCTTCAAGTAGCAAGAGCATTATTATTTCATGCACATCTTCCACTTCATTTTTGGATTGATTATATTCTTGCAGCTGCTCATATCATCAACAGAATCCCTACACCTCTTTTACAAAATAAATCTCCATATGAGATCCTTTTTAAAAGTGTCCCATCTTATGATCATTTAAGGGTAATAGGCTGTTTATGTTATTCATCCACTATCCAAGCTCATAGACATAAATTTGAACCCAGAGCATCAAAATGCATCTTTCTTGGCTACCCTTTGGGTTGTAAAGGATATAAGCTTTACAACTTGGAAACGAAGAAAATATTAATTTCTAGACATGTGGTTTTCTATGAGAATGTGTTTCCTTTTAAAAATAATCAGCCTATTCACTCTCCAAATCACATATTCCCCACCCCTTCTCCTTTTCTATTTGATGACAATCCCCCTTCTATGTCTACTCATCATATCCCTTCACAGACTTCTTTGCCAGATAACTCAACCATCCCTCAAACAACACAACATAATCAAACAGCTCATGTTCCCAGTTCCTCTAACAACTCCTCTCCCACTCTCAGAAGATCTTCCAGAAAAAGAACTACCCCTTCCTATTTAAATGTCTATAATCACTCTTTGCCATCATCATCCAATGTTTTCATGACTCAGCACCCTGCTCCTTTTTCAGAAGACACACATTCTCCACAGTTTAGAACATCATCATCATACCCCATTTCCTCCTACTTGTCTACTGACAATTTATCATATGATCATGCATGCTTTACTGCCTCTGTTTCTCAAGTAACAGAACCCAAGACATATAAACAAGCATCAACATCCTTTATGGCAAGAAGCCATGCAGAAAGAGTTGACTGCCTTGGAGAAAACCAACACATGGTTTCTCACTAATCTGCCACCAGGTAAGCATTGCATTGGTTGTAAATGGGTGTATAAAGTAAAGTACAAATCTGATGGTTCTATAGAAAGATATAAGGCTAGATTAGTAGCCAAAGGTTATACTCAAGAGGAAGGAATAGATTATTATGACACATTCTCACATGTTGCTAAAATCACCACAGTCAGATTACTTCTTGCATTAGCATCCATTAAAAATTGGCATTTACACCAACTTGATGTGAATAATGCTTTCTTACATGGTGATTTAAATGAGGATGTGTACATGACACCACCCCCTGGTTACTGTGCTCCAAATGACAACAGAGTATGTAAACTCACTAAGAGCCTTTATGGTTTAAAACAGGCATCAAGGCAGTGGTTTTGTAAATTAACATCCTGCTTGATTAATTATGGCTTTACTCAATCCATTCCTGATTCTTCCTTGTTTGTCAAAAAGAGCACTACTTCTTTCCTTGCATTACTTGTTTATGTTGATGATATCATTTTGGTAGGTGATCATCTCTCTGAAATTACTGCTATTAAAACCCATTTGGATAATTGTTTTACAATAAAGGATTTGGGTTCTTTAAAGTATATACTTGAAATTGAAGTGGCTCAATCTCATTCTGGTATTCACATTTGTCAAAGGAAGTATGCTTTAGATATTTTGCATGACACTGGTTATCTTGATTGTAAACCCAGTCAAACACCCATGGATACTAATTTAAAACTTACTGTCCTTGATACTTCTGATCCTGTTGTTGATGCTAGTGAGTATAGGAGGTTAATTGGAAGGTTACTGTATCTTACTATAACAAGACCAGATATCTCCTTTAGCATACAGTGCCTTAGCCAATTCATGGTAGCTCCCAAACAACAACACTTGATGGCAGCTCACAAGGTCCTCAGGTACATTAAATCAACATGTGGCAAAGGTATACTCTTTCCCAGATCTTCTTCCTTATCACTCAATGCTTTTAGTGATAGTGATTGGGCTGGGTGTGTTGACACTAGAAGGAGTGTTACTGGATTTGCTGTTTTTTTGGGAAACTCTTTAATATCCTGGAAATCCAAAAAGCAACCTACAGTGAGCAGGTCTTCAGCTGAGGCTGAATACAGAGCCTTAGCTGCTACTACCTCAGAAACTCAATGAATTTTATATTTGTTACATGATTTGCACATATCTCACTCTCTTCCTGTTTCTATATTTTCAGATAGCAAATCAGCAATTTCTATAGCTAACAATCCAGTCCTTCATGAGAAAACCAAGCATATACAGCTCGACTGTCATTTCATAAGAGAAAAGCTGTCACAAGGCATCATTTCATTACATCATGTTTCAACAAAAGACCAGCTTGCAGACATACTTACTAAACCAGTTGGAGGAGCTCAATTTCAACACCTCATCTCCAAGTTGAACATGAAGAACATCCATGTTCAACTTGGGGGGGTAATAGATTATATATTTCCTTATTTGTAAATAGCAATTTAGTATATTTCATTACTTGTAAACATCACTTTCAACTGTAATTGCATAGCACTTTATTTTACCCACTTTACCAAACATTGTAACCCTAGGTATATAAGGACCCTAAGAGTCCCATGTACAGAATAACCGTGCATTCTAATTTCACGCATTTTTCTCTTCACTATTTCTCTCTCTATGTTCTATGCTTATATGTTCAATATATACCTTCAGAGAGTGGATGTGGTCGGGATCCAATGGGCCATGGGGCATGGTATCCTACGAGTGGTGGACTTGGATCGATTGTGACGATGGTACAGACTGAAGATGAATTCTGGATGGGAAACGGAAAATTGGCCGGAAATTGGTGGCCGTGGACATGGAGCCTCACAGTAGTGCTCCTCATATTCACCTTCCGTTTGCTCACGTTTCGCTTCCGCTTTTCTCGCCGGAGGCCGACCGTCTCAATTCCTGTCGAACCTAAACCAGACGGTGGTCTTCCCTCTCCCCGGTAGCTCTCTCTCATCTCTGATTTCGCGCCTTTTTTTGTGACCTTTCCCCTTTTTCCTTCATCTATCGCATTTGTCTCGTCAGAGGCCCAGGGGTTATATCGGATTTGGATTTGAAGAATCTCATCAATGAACTCGACGAGAAGTCGCCGGAAAACGGTGTGGTCTGGTTGCCATTTGCTGACAAGCTCAACCTCTTACTGTTCTCGAATCAGCTCTTTGAAACCAGTAGAAGGGCGAGGCAGATTACGTGCTCAGGGAACCCCCTCTCCTCTCTTCTTCTCTTCATGTATGTATGTGGGCTGCCTGCCCCGTCCCGAATAGACGAACAGGAACAAGCTAAAGGCAGTGCAGAGGAAGAATGCTTCAATATAAGAGTTCTCTTTCCCATCCATCCTCTGAAGAGAAGGTAGGAATGTCAAGTCATAAATTCCCGTAAAATCCTATTGAGAAAGGAAAACGTCGCGGACAAGAGTAACAACAATCTGATATCATATAAGGCCAAGTGCTGCAAACCTAAGGTATTATTGCTTCGGTTTTCTCTTTGAAGCTCTTATATACTTCTCTACCCAGCAGCTCTCGAGATGGCCTTTCATGATATGCAGGATGGGCCGTTGAAGTACCTGAGCGTGACTGTCTTTGAGGAATGCTCGGTTGAGCAGCTGGTCGGTTTTTAAATGGACAATTGTTACAGGATGCAGTGGGATAAGACTGTGGTTCATTATCAACAGTTGCAGATGGATGGTGACTCCGGCACTGAATTTGGCCGGATGATTAAGAAGTTTCCGTTGTTAACACCCAGAGATTACGTATTGGCATGGAGAATCTGGCAGGGAGTTGATGGATCCTTCTACTGCTTTTGTAAGGTACATTTGATTCTTTATTTTTCCTGTTTTGTACAAATCCTGCATCCTAGTTTCTCTTATCTGAGAATTCGCATAGTTTTCTGCCTTGTGTTTCAAATTTCATTGCATCCTTATAGTTTAGCACTTTGTATTGTAGAACTGCTTATGTTGATTTTGATTGGGAATGATGTTGTTTTGTAGCCGTGGTATGGAGCTCGCTTTCGGTAAATGATGATATATAGTGGGTTGGATTGGCCACAGTAAAGGAGTGCAATAGAATGTTGTGTTAATGAGTTTAATGATTCTGTTGAGCTAAAAACTGATATGGCTTGGTGAACATGGTAAAGAAAGCGGTCGACAATATTGCTTATATGAACTGTTGTACTAGACTACTAGTTTGTGTGTGTCTGGATAACTGGAAGCACTTTGATATTAGATTAATATCCAAAGCTTTAACAAGCAATCCCTGTTGAGTTTGGCTTTTAACTCATGGAATCACTGATGGCTCTTTGTGGGTTTTATTTGACTTAGTTTTCATGCTTGAATTAGCTTCCGTTGTAACATAACCTTGCTGAACTCAATACTTGTTCTTATTTCCGGTCTGGAACTCTACTCAATTCCAATTCTGATACATGTATGTGTGCCCTTTGTAAGGAATGCGGCCATCCTTTGGCTCCACATGAGAAGCGTTACGTAAGAGTAGCTTTGTTCAGATCTGGTTGGAGAATCAGAAAAGGCATGTTGCTGACTCACCTCGAATTTGTTTATGCATACTTGCATAGTAGCTGATCTAACTGAATGCTGCAAGGAATACTTGTAATGATTATTAACTTTTCACGTCGCATGTGTGCTTGTATCTTATTCCCCGGATATATTATCTAGTATAAAAAACTATATAGGAAGTTATACGTCTTAAAAATGAACTGTAGCAATCTAGGGCATCTATTTTAGGAATATATCTCAATTGTTTTTACATACAATGTTATGTTTTATGTTTTAACTAGAAGCAATCTATTTTAGTTTTTAAGTTGATCAGTATGAAAATTGACCAAATATTGATAACATCAAATCAGATTCTTTTATGGCTGTTATTAAGAGAATAAGATTTTTTGTTGGTAGCACGCAATAAATTGACCGTGACAGGATTCTTAAGCACATTGTGCAATCTTTTTGGTGAACTACATTTTAAATGTTTTGAAGAAAGCGATACGACTGTTTGGTGAATCTGTACATAAACGAAATATTAGACTTCTTTTTGTTGGAAGTATTTTATTGTTGCGTAAGATTAGAAGTCAGCAATGGGAATGTTCCTGCGGATTGATTTCTTACTAGAATTCTTATTTTGCAGTTCCTGGTAGAAATGCTTGTGAGATCAAAATGGTGCACCAAGAAGATGCTGGTCTGAATGTAGAAATGGCAAAAGTGGCCTTCGCAAAAGGAATATGGAATTACGTGCGCAAGATGGATGATGCCCTCCGTAAATACTCTGCTGGAAGGCAGCATCTACTGGAATATAAACTCTGATGCGAGCTTGTGTATCCAAAAGGTCAGAGCTTACGTCCTGTGAGCTTGCAGTTGTTGAAATTCTGTTCTCAAAAGTTCACCTAGGCTAAAGTCTGGCAAATTATTTTTTTGGGAACAAATGTAGCAAACTGAAGATAATCATCTGATCAACGACGATCAAATCCTGATTAAAAGTTTAAATCAAAATAATATGAGAAATCTCGATCAAAAGTAATTATGGAAAACTTCAGTGTCGGAGATATTAAGTGACGAGTATATTTAACTCACCTTATAAGTTGTGGGTAATTTCAAGTTAGACCCGAGGTGTACAAGGTTGACTAGGACCTGAATTAATTCACTATTGAAATAGTAAAACCTGTACTACTAAGCCTTAACTTTTCTAGGAATCCTTCATCAGTGGTTGTGAAAACGACTGATTGTTTCAATCGTTCTGTTTGTTTTTCATTGTCCCGTGCCTGTTGCAATCTTATAGGTACCACCTGAATTTGAAGTCATGAATGATAATACAAACATGGGTCATCCAGAAAACTCAACAGCAGCTGCCAACAACCAACTAGACACTTGCTGTTCCAAAGAATCGAGGAAACTCAAGAAATGGCCTTCGAGCAAGTTGATTGCAAATGGTTTTATTGTTCTTGGTGGTGCTATCTGCCTCTCGAGATGACATTCGAGCTTGGTTACAAAGGTTGACATGGCCTATCTATTGACCAAACTTACGAAGCAATGTGCTTCATCTAAGAAAGATTTGTAACGGTGATCCCCAGGCCGCTGTGGTTTGGCCTGCTGCCTGCCATCTGCCATTGATAACACAGTGGTGCATGAAAAAAAAAAAAACAAAAAGAAGAAGTTTAATGATGGCTGTAAATATAGATGTTGTGTTAGCTTTATATGACAATAAATTTTTTAATAAAATAATATTTGAGTATTATGATGAACCAAAATATGTAAAATTATTACTTTTCTATATTAAAAAATAAATATATGTTAAAATATTATTTATATTAATATAAACGATTCAGAATGCTAATATATTGTTAAAATGAAGTTTTGAGAAAATGGTCTAAGGTACGAAGCACGGGATTCTCACTAGTTCGATTCTACTATGAACTATGTCGAATGGTTCGTGTCTATTTGTGTGATTCAAGTGTGGTACAATTGCTTATACCCTTATTTGTTTTGCAATATGCTTTGAATATCACTCTGTGCATTGTATCCTCTGTGTATGCAAGCATCCTCTGTCTGTACACAGAGAAAAAACAAAGCACTAGTAACCACCAACTGAACCGGCACCTCACCAGCTGGAAAGCCTCATCCGGGCCCCCGTGCTCTGCTACAAATGAAATGACGACAAGCATAAAAGTAAAAACTGACAAAGAGTAGTGCAACTTTTTTAATTTTATTTTTTCATAAGAAAAAGTTAATTGAAAAAACAACTAATATAATAACTGAGGCTACTTTTGCTGTGCACTAACAATAAAGTTGAAGTAGCAATTGTAGGAAAAGATGGCAGTCCACTTAACGGTCCCTACTGTTTTACAATAATGGTTGTACGGTTACCCACTCAAAGTCCTTCCATTCACACTCCATATTTCATTCGAGTCTTCATTTTCTTTTTCTTCACCACACATAACATAAGCCTTTGAGAAAAATCTTCTTGCCTTCAGAACATCTCATCATACAGTTTTTATTCATATCTAAAGCCGATTGGATTTCATTTCACCAAACAGGGGGTCATCCATGGCAGCTTATGGAGCTCTGCTTTCTGTTACAAACACCATACACCAAATCCTGAATCATCCTCGCCCACCCATCTCCCTTGACAAACTACGAATCGAACCTCTGATAGAAAAAGTTGCTTTCCTGCAAGATTTTCTCGAGAACTATATTATTGATGATGCAGATGGCTTGGAGGGACGTATGGTCGATGCGGCTCAGAAAGTCGAGGATATAATCGAGTCCCGCATTGCCGATCATTTTGAGGATGAATATGAAGACTCTTTGTATCTATACGTACAGAAAATGATGGAGGAATCCGATGCGGTTCACGAGGCAGAGGATATTATCCAGTCTCACACTGCCGATCATATCGAGGTTCGTGGTGTAGCAAACATCAGTTCAAAGGACAACGAGTCTTTGTATCGAGAGCTACAGGAAGTGATGGGCGACTTGGATTCCATCACAAAAGACGTGGCTGCTATTAAAGAGAAGGCGGGGAAAAATATTGCTTCTTCTTGCACGGAGGATGACGCCATGGAGGCTTCCGATGATGTCATGAACAACATCATGGATAAGCTCAACAACAATCCTTCTTCCAAGGGGGACGACACGATGGCGGGCGTCATGAACAACGTCATGGATACGCTGACCAATCAACAATCTGGTCGTCGGATCATCGCAATTGCCGGAATGGGCGGCATTGGTAAGACCACTCTTGCAAAAAAAATTTACGAACACCCATATGTTGTGCAATACTTTGATATCCGCGGATGGGCTACAGTCTCTCAAGAATTTGATTCGAAAAGGATTTTGTTACAAGTCCTTGGTTGTTTGAAAAACGAAGGGAGTGAGGACGACGAATATGAAGAACTAGGACAAAATTTGTATCAAAGCTTATACGGCCAACGATTTCTGATTGTGATGGATGACATTTGGGGTACGGACGCATGGGACAAGGTGAAGCGCTTCTTTCCGAAAAACAATGACGGGAGTAGAGTATTGATAACCACTAGGCCATCGAAACTGGCTATGCAACTGGACAGCCCAGACTACTTTCAGATGCCTTTTTTGAAGGTGGACGAAAGTTGGAATCTGCTGCATGGGTGCGTGTTTGGGGAGCAACGGTGCCCTCTGGAACTGGAAGAGATTGGGAAGGACATTGCCGGAGAATGCAGAGGCCTTCCATTGTCAATTGTCGTGATCGGAGGACTCCTAGCAAAGTCTGAACGAACACGGGAAAATTGGCAACACATTGCAGAAAATTTAAGCTCCATCGTAAATTTGGAGGATGACGAGCGTTGCTTTAGAATACTAAAGTTGAGCTACAATCAATTGCCTGTCCACTTGAAGCCGTGTTTTCTCTACATGGGCATGTACCCGGAGGATTATGAAATTCACGTCCCCACGCTCCTCAAACTATGGGTTGATGAAGGATTTGTGAAACCGGTGGCCGGTAAAAGTCTGAAAACAGTTGCTAGAGTAGCGTACCTACATGGTCTCATCCTCAGAAACTTGATCTTGGTTCGTGAGCGGGGCCTTACCCGAAGAATAAAATACTGTGGCATCCACGATCTCCTAAGAGACCTATGCATAAAAGAAGCTGAGAAATACAAATTCTTCCGCACGACGAAAACAACGCACAACCCTGACCCCGACCAAAGCTGGCGCGCCCAACGCCGTATCGGCATTCACCAAGCTGAGAAATACGTCGTAATTCCCCGTCCACTCCCTGAAGCTGTGCAATCCGCATCACGAGCGCGAACCATGATATGGAACGCTAATGGAATTTTACCATCTGTAGTTCCGTTTAGATTACTGAGGATTCTGAATGGACACTATAGATATGCACCTTACAAACAGACGGGAGAACTTCGGCTTAAAGAACTTTTTCTTCTGGTCAACTTGCGTCACCTGTTTATCATAGCTGTGATGCCGGAGATTGAATTTCCTCCAGAACTTTACCTACTCTGGAATTTACGGACGTTAATATTTACTAACTTCTCATGCTTGAATCGGCCGGTGCTGGACATCTGGCGGATGCCCCAATTGAGGCACGTCAAGGTAGCCTGTGGACTCCGGCTCACGGATCCTCCTCCAATGGAAGAAGAAAATGGTTGGATGGTGTTGGAGAATCTAGAGACGCTAAAGACCGTAGATAACATGAGGTTGAGTGAAAAACTGGTCGAGAGAATCCCCAATATCAAGAAGCTGGAACTTTGGTACGACGAAAAGGGGATGGAATTATCACTGGCTGATTACGGTCTCTGGAATCTCTGGCGGCTACATAAGCTGGAGGCCCTCCAACTCCGGATACGTTTGGATGCATTCGTGGGGCCCGATTGTGAAGCATGCTCTATTGATTTGACGAAAAGTGAGGTGGCAATGTTCCCGGTTTCGCTCAGAAAGTTGTTTCTACATGGCACGTGTCTGGGGTGGGAGAAGATGGGGACAGAGATAGGCTTGTTGCCACATCTTGAGGAGCTCCAGATATTGTGTGATGCGTTCGTGGGGCCGGAGTGGGAAACAGCTGAGGGCGGATTCCCGAGCCTGAAATACTTGTGCATTTACGAATGCAATGATCTTGAACAGTGGAGGGCGGAGGCCACGCACTTTCCGTGCCTCGAGCGGCTCGAACTAACACACCTAATTAAGTTGAAGGAGATCCCATTGGGAATTGGGGATATACCCACGCTTAGGGAGATCCATTTGCAGTGGTGTAATGACTCTACCGTGCTTTCTGCAAAGAAGATATTAGAGGAACAAGAGCTGTGTCTTGGAAAAGTGGAGCTTCAGATTAAAGTTTTGATATTTACCGAAAATTCCCAACTAAGAGAAGAGAGTTTCAAGAGTAGTCCAAACTTTACAGCTTCTTATGTTAAACCCCAACAAAAGAATTGATTCACCACCCATTTAAAAGAAACTCTGTTTAATTTTAGCTCATCTACATTGGAGAGTTTATTGCTCGTTTTAATTTTTTTTTTTTTT